AGCACAAGGTCCTGAACTGTGACCCAAGATCTGGGTCATTACAGTTTAGTGGGACACACTGGATTCTGTGTCTGCTTTGAAGGTGGAGCTAGTAGGAGTTACTGAGATGTTAGATGAGGGATGGGGAAAAAAGAGGAGTTGGCAGCGAATGAGGGAAGGTTGGCCTAAGCAACTGAAAGATAAGATAGCCATACATGAAGATGGTGCAAGAAGCTGAGCAGAATACTTTGAGGATAGATCGGAGACTAATTTGGGTTGTATTGAGATAGTTTTAGACAACCAGATGGAGAGAGAGATATCCAGTAAGCAATGCTATGTATGAGTCTGAAGTTCAGGGTGGAGATCCCAGATTTATATACATTTTAGAACATATATAGTATTTAAAACAATGAGATTAGAATGTGTGTAGATAAAGAAGAGATGAAACTCAGAACTAGTTTAAAGCGTTTCAATGTCAAAATATCCTGAAAATCTAAGGATGTGGCTCAGTGGTAGAGCCCTTGTCTAACATGCACAGGATCTCCGGTCCCATCTCCAGCACTGGGAAAAAAAATAAATAAAAAAAAAAATATATATATATATATGGACAAATTAACACCGATTATATGTATCTACTGATCTCTCCCAGAAAATAGAAGAGGGAATATTTCTCAGCTCATTTTATGAGGCCAATGTTATCTTTTCACTTATATTCACATTAAAACTCATACATGAATGTTCATCCCAGCTTTATTAATTAGAGCCAAACATTGGAATCAGTCCATACCTTGAACAGGTGAATGGATGAGTGAAAACACTACTCAGCAATGAAATGAACAACGGATATGTGCAGGAATCCTAAGGAAATTACACTGAATAAAAGAAGTCAGAAAAATTATGGTAACGAGGAAGGACAGCAAAGAGGGCTGAAAGGAGGTGACCAGCAAATAGTGGATAAAATACCGTCGTGTCCTGAAGTTCAGGAGGTTTTCAAAGGAATGTGAATGGCCTAGTGTCCCAAGTGCTGTCAATAGCTAAGAAGATTTAAGGGTTCACTGCTGAATTTAGCAACCTGGAAGGGAGACAAAATAATTTCAGAAAAAAAAGATTATCATAATTGAAACAGCCTCTGTGGAAGTGGGAGGAAAGGAACTGGAAAGAACAAATACAGACGGTATTCGGGAAGTTGTCTATAAAGAAGAAAGAAATGGAAAGGAAGGAGTGAGAGGAAAGAGTTCACAGCCGTTTTTTATTCTTAAAATGAGAACGGTTAAGAATGATTCAGGACGGGAATATTTTGATGGAGTGGGAGAGCACTGCCAAAAAAACATACGTTGAAGTAGATGAGAAAGGGTGGGATATTTGGTTTCAGGATTACAGACACTTTATCATATCAAGGACAGAGGTTCAGATTATGGATACATCAATAGTAGGAAGATGTGGAAGGTAGGCACTATCAGAGGTTTTCTGATTTCTTCATTTTTCTCAGAGCAACAGAAAATAAGGCCATTGGCTGAGAGTGAGGATGAAAGAGAAACTCTGAGAGATTGGAGGAGAAATTAGAAAACAGTTATCCAGAAGGTTAAGCTGAATAGGACAATATTAACATGTAAGTTCTTTTTTAACTACCCTTTGTATCTTTTAATTAGTATATACTGATTATGCAGAATCCTGAACATATGAGCTCTTGATAGTTACTCAGATGGTATTTTTCTTTCTGCCTTTTTTTTTTTTTTTTTTTTTTTTT